AATCTTTTGGGACTATTGATTTCCTGGATCTCAATCAACACAGTGTGGAAAATGTGATTTCCATATTTAAAGTACACCAGAAATATAAGGGCTAAATATGCTATATTATATTTGCTCATTTTCTAATATCATAATTTCCTTAATGTGTATGACCTCTACATAGCTTTTATTTTTATTTCAGTACAGTGTTCTCAAAGGCCATCACACTGAGACTTTACTGAGTAAACCACTTGCCCTATGACCAGTAAAGGAAACTGAAGTATATTTGTATCACTTTTTCTGCCTGTTTGAGACTGTTCTTAAAAATATACTACTAGAACATATTTTCATACTCATTGAGCACACTCACTGATTAACTGTTTCTGAATATACTTGTAAATAGACAATGGGTATGATTATTATTCTTGCGACTCTCACCCATGAGTAATGCAGAGTTTCATAGACAAGACAAACATACATTTTCAGGGATAACTGACAAAGTGTTGTAAGAGAAGCATTATCAATGTGCTAATGAAGTTTCTAGCCATGAATAGCTTTTCTGTAGTTATTATAAGTCCCCAGAAATTACAGAAGACTGTCCTTGTTAATGGTATATAAGAGAAAAGAGACTTTCACCAGCCAGCTTCTTTGGATTATTGTTCCAGAAAGTTCAAGGTTTTTATTAGGGTATCTGGACTGGACATTGTCTCGTGCTTTGCTGTTCAAAGGGCTCAGTGTTTGATACCGTGTTTCTATAGTGATAAGTGGAAAGGCCCACATGCCCTGATGACAGCAACAGCATCACACTGCACAACTATAAAAGCACTTTCTGATTGATCTGGGCTCTTGAGTTATTTGACTAATATTTCATGTTATATAAAAAATAGAGGATGTCAGCATTGTCCAGCATTTCAATAATACAGTGTAATTAATCAGTACGTAGGGGCAGATATGTGCTTTTTCAATCTTGTCACAGTCTGTCATTTCAAGCAAAAGGTGTAACCATAAAAAATGAGCTTGGTTTGTAATCATGTGTGGAGATGTTATTGCTTTGTTTATATTTGTGTATGTTCTATGCCTAGGAGGCTGTTACAGATGACTAGGATTTTGAGCAGGGACAATTGCTATTAGTCTAAAGGGAAACTACACCCATGTTTGTGGAAGAATTGTCTGGTCTGCCATTGTCATTTGCAGCTAGCTGGAGTTACAAATAAAGGTTAACTGTTTGTTCCAAGAGGGAAGATAACAAAAGGGAAGATGGTCCATATGTGTACATGTATTGGTAAGAAGAGCTCCTCTTTTCATTCCCTTTGTTGATCTCTGACTTATAATTCCTGAATTATTTTTATATTTTCTTTGCAAGTTCATGTTGAAGGGTGGTATTATGGAACACAGTATTCTTACTAATGAAGGAGATTCTCTCTTAAACAATTCTTGATTTCTTAGAAGGGTGTTAACCAGGCCCTTCTCACTCTCAGGCTACCACACTAGTTTGAATGTCACACACTAATTACCCTGGCTTCCAGTGAGAATATGTACTTGGGACTCTCTCAGTGAGAGCACTGCCTTTCCCATTTGAGGTGTACTGACAGCTTTCCTCAAGTACTTTAAGCAGCATTGATGTCCCCAGTTGTACTGGGGTTAATCTTGCACCTGAGGTTTTTCTTTTCTCGCTTCTGCTCTACTAATGTCTCTTGCTTGCTTACTAGAATTTTCTACTGTCCCATTTTATCCTCATCTGTGAAATTAGGTAACATGATGTTTACATCCCCCATGATGTTTCAAAATTATTAGTGAGGTAAGCTGTGAAGTGGTGCTTTTCTCCTTCAGAGTTGATGCTGAAAAGTGGCAGGTGCTAAGAAAGCATTTTTCTTTTCCTAATTCAGCTCCTGCCACGGAGCTTTCTGGTGTCTCAATGATGTGACTTGAAACGAGCATGCTTGCAGCCCTTCTTCATCTAGCTCCCCTGAAAGGGTGTAATCATATTTGATATCAGCCATTTCCCTAGTCATAGATCATGATGTCACAAACCAAGGATCATTTCCTCCAGCATGAATAAGCTGGAGAGGAGGAGAATGTCCATGATGACTTAGTTAACATCTTTATTCAAAGTCAGTCATTTCTTAAAGAAAATGAACCACAAGCCACAATCCTGCTCTAGTCCTCCTGAAATACCCATTGAATTAGGCAGAACACTGCATTCACCACTATACTACATTTAAAATTGTTTCAAAAAATTAAAAACTTATACAAGTGTGCATAAGTTGATACCTACTTTTAAAGCACTTAAAATAGGGCTTCTTGATAAGATAAATGTCAATAGATTAGCATGAACTTCATATGTATATTTCTAATTTTAACATATAAACATAACAATAGAATTATGTTGCTTGTTATTTCAGGTAAAATGACTTCCTTTTAAAGATTGGAATGATATCAGAGACACTTGGTAGAGTTACATTTTGACTCAGAGTTTAAATAGAAAGCGTATAGGATGATATAAATCCAGGGTCTAAGATACAGTATATTAGATATCACTAATAAGGATATGATAGCCAAAACATTTTCTCCATTAGTGAATCACAAAAACAATTAGTAGTCATTGACTATTCCCCAAGATTCAAAATCTTATTAAGTATACTGATACTAAGGAAAATTCCCATGAATAAACTCAGTTGTAAGATAATTCACTCTAAACCCCCTTAGGTGCCATGATGGTTCATTGAACATTTGCCATGAAAACTTGGCAATTTGAGTTCAATCCCACATAAAGGTAGAAGGAGACAACTAACTCCACAGTTTCCTTGATCTCTCCATGTATGGTGTGGCCCACTACCCACACACCACTGTCTCTTTCTCTCTCTGACTCTGTCTGATTCTCTCTCTCTCTCTCTCTCTCTCTCTCTCTCTCTCTCTCTCTCTCCACACACACACACACACACACACACACACACAAAACCTGCTGGGCATGGTGGCGCATGCCCAGAGGCAAGCAGATCTTGAGTGAGGTCAGCCTGGTCTACAGAGTGAGTTCCATGACAGCCAGGGATACACAGAGAAACCCTGTCTCAAAAAAAAAAAAAAAAAAAATAATAAAAATAATAATAATGAAAAAAAGAAACCTTACCCATTTGTACCTATGAGATGTTAAGGATAATGGTGCTTTTAGCCTTTTAGAACATTGGTAATTGTAGCTTGTTCTGAATTTCTGAATTACTACATCTTTTTTGGAAACTGTTGCTGAGAATGACATAGCTTTCTGAACAGATTATTATAAATAGGAGAGAAAGTGAAGGTTTAGTGGGATTGATTCTGTCAGAGACTAACTTAGGAGTTGGTATTTGGCCTGTCTGTCTGTCTGCCCATCCATTGTCATTGGAGGATAAGCTATGAAAGGAGGCAAATTCCCTGAGAAGTGGTACGTGAATCTTCCTCATAACAGTGAGTAAATGAAATGTCAGGGACATTATTTTACATCCCTTCTAGTCTGCACAGTGTTGTAAATCTCCTTTTCCTCTAGGTAATTAAAATTTTAAATTTTGATTTGAAAGACTATTTGGCATTTTTCCCTTAAGGGTCATGCTTTTGAAGCATGGCAATCTGTAAAAACAAGGTGGAAACAGAAGAAAAGAATCTTTAGGGATTCAAGTCAGTTTCAGCTGTTGGGGTGGGGGGCAAAAAGCCAGCACTTCAGTTAGGCTGTTATGTAAGTTTGGAATTTATATTCTTTTTTAGTTTTTTTTCCCCTTTTTCTGAAACAATTGGTGTAGTTGACAGTCAAGTCACTATCTGTATTGGAATTATTGCTTGCCTTTGTTACTGGAAAATGGTAAGTTAGAGTCTATAGTGACTTCAGATGCAAACGATATGTGACATTTAAGGTTATTTATGCAGTCTCTTGAAAAAAGTTAAAGAGAGGAGTTGTGTATCCCACTGTCCTAATTAAAAACTGAAAACAAAGAGATCAGTGAAATGGGACAAGTTTCCTTCTTCCTGTTACTTTGGTTGGGGATGGAACTCAGGCCCTGCATAGGCCAGGCAAGTGGTCTGTCTACTCAGGAGTTGTTAGAATAACAACTTTGGATGGTTTTTCTTGGATTAGCAAATTTCTTTAGTTAGGTGTGGTGTACATTTGTTGTTTTTCTTATCTCCACCCTTCCAAGCTAATAGAAACATGACTTTGTTTTAGGGCTTTTTGTAAAATTTTTGAACTGACTTTTCAATTGAACTTATGACAATGACTTTATACCAGTGAGGTTCTATGGAAGGAATTAAAATGTCATCAGGTGAAGATGGTTGATGATTACTTTCTGTGATTTTTTTTTTTTTTTTTTTTAAACATGGAAAGCCTCATTCTGGAATTAAATGCTAGATAGTTTCTACAAGGCACCCTTTAAAATTCTTCCATGGCATTTCTTAGTTTGCACCACCAGCCTGTATGGAAACTTTTGAGGTTTTAATGTGCCAGATTTCTTTTTGTTCTGTTCTTAAGTGTCCTCATTTGCTCTACTGTCTTTGGGGGTAAATTCACCCCACTAGAGGTTGCTTCTATCAGTGTGAATGAATGTGACATCACAGTTTAGGTTTCTTTCTTTCTTTCTTTTTGCTAAGAATTAAAGTCAGTCATTGAGCCTTTTAAAAACATTGACAGAGTGTGGCTTGCCTTGCCTGTGATTCCTTCCTTTCCCCCAAGTTCCTTGTCAAGCTTGGTGAAACCCTCTGTGGCAGCATCCTGAATCTTCTCATGCTTTCAAATTACTAAATAAAATTATAATTCTTTACAAAAAAAGAAGAAAAAGATGGAATCATTCAGTGAAAAGATAAATGGGATTTGCAAGCCATGTTATTGTTGAGTTGTGAGTGGCTACCATGCAGCCTAAGTAGAAACAGGTGTTTACCTCAGAAGGTTTCAATCTGAGGTAAGAGCCATATGAAATTCAGCTCTCCTGACCCACCCACTGCATAGCCGGTTTCATTCCAGTAGCCAAGCCATGAATTAATGTTATAAAATCACGTCTTACCTGGTAGCAGTTGGCTGAAGCTCAGTGAAGAATGGTAAGCTCTCATTCTCAAAATGCCTCGTCGACTGTGCTGTGGTGATCTCTTTCACCCGAGTGTCTTATTTCTTGCAGCATCTCTCAGGCCCGCTAATCCTGTGGTGTCAGTTAGGACAGCTCACAGCAAGGAGAAGACTCCATTTGGGTAGGATTGTGGAAATCAAAGGGTGAATTTTGCCTCTATCAGATAACAGCAGTTGATCTGACCACAGTGCTCAGAACTTATTAAAAATTCATTGGCTCTCTCGGCAGTGAGAAATCCTGATGGCTCCTGCAGATGTTTCATGCTCTGGAAAAGTTCTGCTCACCTCTAATTCACAATCATAAACGTCCCCAAATCATGCTCTAACATTGTTGTATGTTCCAGAAGCACAGATGTTCTCTAGCACCTTCTGCTTCCCTTGGTTTTCTCCTGAACAACTTTCCTCCGTCCTCAGCCTTCTGTCTGCAGAGGTGCAGAGTTTCCTCTCTTTCCGGGTGCTTCTGTTAACACGTCGCTCTAGTGGTTTCTGAGTGGTGAGGGAAAAATCCAAAAGGAAGAACAGCTTTATCATATCCCAGACACTGAACATGAATGAAGCGCTGATAGGATCCGTTCAAACCAGACAGCCAAGTGGTGGGATGCCGCTTTCATACATAATGAACTCATTAATTACTCCTCCCAATGGACAGCGATGTGCCCTGGCAGGAAGAGGGGAAGGAGCAGAGGGGCGTGTGCTGTTGTTCACTAGGTGATTTGAGCTGCTTGTCACTGAGGAGGGAATCCAGGGGAGGCTGCAGCTCTGGAGTGTGATCAGGTAGACCAGGCAAGTTATTTTGACAGACAGTTAAATGACGTATTTTGGAAGGAGGGGAAAAAAAAAAAAGCTTAGCAAGAGGTAGCTGGAATGCAGTTCCCGGAAATCTTACGAATGACATCTCTCCTGCTGGAAACATTTCCTACCTTTGCCCTGCAGTATTGCAGAGGTTCTGTCCAGCTGTGTGGTCGTCATGTAGTTTTCTAAAAGAGAACTTTCCAGAGGTCTTAGATGGCAAGCATATGCTATGAATTACAAAAACAACAACAAAAACAAACAAACGGTGACAAGGAAAGGCTTTCCTTAATAAAAGGTGCCCACTCATGTTTTATACATCTCTTGGGCACATGTGTTTTTGCTTTGGTATAAGCTTTACAAATCACTTGGTATAAAATATAATGAATGGTCTTCAACCGGCTTTCTTTAAACTACATGAAATTCTGATCAGCTATATAAAGTATAGATATAAAAATACCAGTATCATAATTTTTTTATACTTTAGTTGTTTAATTTGGCAAGGACCTTTCACCCACTTCTCAGTGGAGCCCCTTTGAACTATGATTAGCCACGAGGATGTTTTAAAATGTTGAAAACTTCAAACTTAGACAAAGGTGAAAGGAAATACATAGATTCCCTATAGACCCATTGTCCTGATTCAATAACTCCTGGTATTTTCCTCTTTATTGAAATGCTTTAAAAGAAATCTCATTTTATTTCTTTCTGCCTAACTGTGTATTGTTTAAAACGTCACAAACCCTTTTCAGGTGTTCTCTGTGGCCATCCACTAGCCACTGTACTTAAAATTTTTTTTTTGTTTCTCAGAAGCTGTGTTTTCATAGGGCTTCTCAAGTAAGAATCCAAAGTGTACACTCATACTTAGTTATCAACATTAGAAGCTTAAATCCTGATAAATTTAACTACATATGAGAAAGAAGTAGTTTTAATTTTGTAATGCCATCCATGCTAATATACAAGAGAATATCTCTTACTTTCTTGAACCCTTTCCTGCTTAACACTGATGCCATAATAATAAAAAGAATTGTAATTTTGGAGGCATAGAGGGATGGGTCAGTGGTTAGGAGTATGTATTGCTCTTACAGATCTGAATACCTGGTTGCCTACCACCAATGTTGGACAGCTTACAACCACTTGTAACTCCAGCTCTAGGGGATCTGACACCTCTGATCACCATGTGCACCTGTACTTGGGCCTCTGCACTAATGTACACATACCCCTCCCCCCCCACATAAACAATTAAAAAAATCATTTAAAAACTTGCTGTTGGATTTGTTCATTGCTTCCTGGGGGTTTTCTAGAATGCAAGATTATGTTCCGATGCCTTAAGACTATTTTAGGGGCTGGGCAAATGCAGTCAAATGTAGTTGCTGCTGAGTAACACCACTTTGCTTGTTTTCTTATCAAACACAGGAGATTCTTCTATATGACTCTCCAGTTGTGTGAGGTAAAGAGCTAGCCAGTGAGGCTGTGGTGTTCATGAGGACCAGTGACTAGGGCACCACCCATCTTTCTGTGTCTGCTGTTCCTCTCTGTGAATTTTACTTCCTATACCTGTGAACACCCAGCTCCTAATTAGATAGCATTTGGTTGTCTGCTTAACTTTTCCAGGAATGCCAGAACATGAAGTTTGAGAAAGCTGTCTGTGTGCCACTGCTCCTTTGCTGAAGTTTGTTGTCGTCCACATTCTCTTCTCTCATCTCGCTTCATCTCCCTAAGTGGCTGGATGAATGAGAAATGACAAGGTGAAATATGGGGAACCATTAAAAGAACATGGACGGAAATTGTTTTTCTGTGCCCACCTGGGCTTAAAGCCAATGCTGAGGGCTTCCAGTTATGGAATGCCCCTCTTGCAAGGTGTTCATAAATCATAGATAACACGTTGCCAAGGTCCTCATTCTATTGTTATGGTGTGAATGCTTGGTAACTCTGTGTAGCATTTTTACATGATCTCAATCATGCCTTGTCTCTTGTTAATTAAAGTTGTGTGTTTATTACTTATACATGTGCCAGTCATTTATAGAAGGCCCAGGAAGTAATATATATGTATATATAAGTATATATACATATATAACTATATGTATATATGTATATGTATATAACTATATATACATATATAGTTAAAGCAGAAAGATGAGCCAAAATGCTGCTTTCCTCTTTCTAAGTGGTCTGTAATTGTCTTTGTCATTTATAATGTATACTCAGCATCAGGAAGACATTTTCCTATTGGGGATGTTTATGTGATTAATTGGTGAAAAGAGAGGCTGCACAGGGAGCAATAATAGATTGCATGCTTTGGGTCTAAGTTCCTACTCTGTTTCAAATCATGATCTCCCAATAGCCTGGCTATAAACTGAATTAGAAGCAAAACACTGATGCACTTGATAACCTAGATTGTTCTCAACCCAAAAGAGGCTGTCTTCTTTTCACTCAGCATGGGACCCTCGTCCATGGAATGGAACCACTTACATTTAGGGTGGGTCTTCCTACCCCAGTCAACCTAATTTAGATTATTCCTTATATTCATGCTCAGAGACTTGTTTCTATGGTGATTCAATCTTGTCAAGTTGACTATTAAAGCATATCTGGTATTGATCTTGTTTATAGAAATCTACATTTACTTTCTCATTTGTACATAGTTCTCTTCCCAATCAGGAAGATGTTGGGCTGTATGATCAAGACAATGGCTCCAGTGGCCAGCAGGCTCCCTCCATTCCTTACTGGGAGTGAGGAGTGTTTTTGATGCACTGGATTCCCATTATCATTTTAAACAGCAGCTCTTCTCCAGCATGACCAACATTCTATCAAGTGAGATGGGAAGTTTCTCTGGGATCGTAGATGACCTGTACATGGTGTTGAAACTTGACCCTCTTTGAGAAGATGGTTCAAATTTAAAGAGAAGGGATTGTTTCTTCCTGTCTTTCATGTTTTGAATTAAAAAGATGTTACATATATATGTATGTATATGTATGCGTGTGTGTGTGTGTTTTCCTGAATCATGTATTCTGTTCCTGCCATACATGGATATTTTTCTGTTTTTTTTCACATGTGTATATGTATGTATTGTGTGTGCACTCTTGCTGTATATTTGGGTTGCCTGTGTGAAGCATGCATGTGTATGGGTGCGGTGCTCATGAATTTGTATGAGTGTGCATATGGAGGCCTAAAGTTCCTGCTGGGTGTTTTCCTTGCTCATTCCTCACCTTGCTCATGGAGGCAGGGTCTGTTGGTAGAACCCAGAGCTTGCCAGTATTGCTGGTGTGCTAGCCAGATCACTCTGGGAAATCCTTATTTCAAGTGCTAGAAATACAGGTAGACTCTACACCTACCTCACATGGTGTAGGATCTGGGCATCCAAATTCTGGTCTTTACATATGTTGGCAAGTGTTTAAACTATGGTGTTAGGCATTCATTTAGCTAAATTTCATTAACAATTTAAAAAGTGAACATGGTGCTATAAGTACATGTGATCCTTACAATAAAGTTGGCCATTAGTGAACAATTGCTTTCCTCCTATTGATTATATCTGAATAAATCAAGAGAGTATTTTTATCTTCAATTGTAGATTTCAGGAACACTTCTAAACTTCTTGAGGCATTCCTCTGTCATTGCATCTCTCCTTTCATGGCTTCAGACTTTGACCTGTCCTTAACCCTTTTCTCCGGTGAGCTGCAGTCAACCACTAGAGGTCTCCAGACCTCATTGCAGGAAGCTCTGATTTTACAGCCTAGTGCACTGAATGGATACCTCCGGAAGACATTGGTTACTAAGATTTCCTTTATGTTCCAGGTCCTAGAACTGTACTGTGGCCTGAACATAGCTTTAAAAAAGGTGAGATCTCTCCCCTAACAGGGACAGATTCATAGGACCACATGTGACCCCAACCACAGCATGGACTTTGCATCCTGAGTGCCAGTTCCTTGAGATTTGCAGATTTGTCAGAGCTCCTAGAATACTCTCTAGATATTCATTCACAGTGAGCTCATTCCTGGCCTCTGGTGCTGAGACCCTGCCCTTTCTTAGTCAGGAGCCATTCTCTGCCACACTGTTTGAGTGAGCTCTGGCTTTTATTTTGTCAGTAGCTTTACGTATCTACTTTGGGAATCTGTCCCACTTGAACCTCTGATCCCATAGAGTCTTTGAAATAGAAACACATCACAAGGTAGTGCGCCTTTCAAAGTTCTCTTCATGACCCATGGAAAGCACTGGGTGTAATGACTATCATGTATGGGGCGAATGCTTAATAGGCACCAGCAGTCATTATTATTACAAGGGAACGTAAAATACTGTTACTTCTGGAAGGCACTATAGAGAAAATGTAGTTCTTCCCCCACATTTCACACAGTAAACGCTGGAACTCTGTCCTTCCTCATGTGGGTATATAACCTGTTCTCTTCAGTGCTACATATATTTCATTAGGAAGGCCCCAGTGGTGCGGTTAATATCAACTTAATCATCGCACTGTTTCATAAGAATTTTTATATGGATACATATTTTGAACTAAGTTGTAATCAGTGGTTTCAAACA